ATATATCTCAAAATTTAATAATATATATTAATAATAACGTTTAAAATATATAATTAATAAAATATAAAATTTACGTACATGAAAAATAATTTACATCTTATATTTCATCTTTTATTATATTAATAATATAATAGTAAATTTTATCCACCTAAAATCATACTTTGGAATGTATATGCAATTGAATCTTTCTTATTTTTCAAAAAGAAAGAATTATATAATTTTTTTAGTAGAATTCATAAGTATAGTAGCTTTATTACAATATTTGATATTAAATTCACAAGGATGTTGATACCATGGTTCACCATCAATTTGCATAGCACAAGATTTTATTATTTTTACCTGCATGTATATTTTAAAATTATATAAAATATTTATAAAAAAATATTATAAATTTTCATTATTCCTAATATTAATATTCTTGAAAATTTTAAATTACTCAAATAAATTTTATTTATGATAAAATACCTTTATACTGTTAGCTTGCCCAAGGCGATAAGGTTGAGATAATCCTACTTGAAGTTGAGCCATATGAAATGAAGAATAAAGTGCAACTATTTCTAATTTGCCATCATTGATACTTTGTTTACTATATTTTTCATGACCTATTCAATATAAAATATTTATATATTTTTAATTATTTTATGTAGAAAGATATAAATAATAAATACCTTCTAATCCCATATTCCATAGGTTAACACCAGCAGCCCATGATGGAATATTTAATATTACAATACTTTCAATGGATGGCAAATTTATTTTTTTATCATCCAAATATAGTTCTATATTTTTATTAAGATCTTTACATTCTCGTTCAACTACTTGTTGCATACCAAAGCATAAATATAATAGCTATCAAAAATATAGAAACAAATATTGTTTGCTACAATTTCTAAATAATCATTAAATAAAATAAATACCTTATTCAACAATCGACTACTATAAAAATAAAAACGACTCTTTCTTGTACGATGAAAATTTAATGTTACTTGTGCATCTACACCCACACTTAAATAATTATACATGTAGAATATTTGATGGGAACTTCTAAGCCCTAATCCACCATATGGTTTTATTATTACAGTCCATCTAAAAAAAATATTAAATATTAAATATTAAATATATAATATTAAAAATTTTCAATATAATTATATATATTGAAAACGATTTAATAAATTATAAATATTCTTTATACCTATCAAGTTCCACTTTTTCTGCTACTTGTATTTCTTGTAGAATATCTTCAGGTTCCTTATTTAAATCATGCTCTTTTCCCCATCCTAATACTCTAGATAAGTCATTACCTGTTCCCAAAGGAATTATTGCTACAGATGGAATTGGCTGTTACAAATATATTTATTTTAGATCTTATTTGTTATTTTATTTATATATTTTATTTGGAATATATTTTAAAAAATTATTTTAATTTAAGAAATGATAATAACAAATTAAATATATAAGGCATACATATATACATATTTTACCTTTAGTCCCACTTTATGAATAGCATTTAATAAAGATGCTATTGTTCCATCTCCACCTGCTACAAGGAGTGTGCATGTTACTTTTCCAAGTAAACGACACCATTCAAGAATGGCAACAGCATCACATTCTGATAAATCAACAATTTGTGCAGGATTTAATAACATCCTAAACAGAGATAAAATTTCTGCTCCATCATTATTACCAGATTTTTTATTTGCTAAAAAAAATGTCGTAAGTTGGATTGTAACCATTAAAAAAATTATACATATACATATATGTAATATATATATATATATTAAGTAAACACGTTACAAAGATACTTCCTCAAATTTTAAATAGAATTTTTTTAGTTTTTATATGATATAAAAAATCAAGTAGTTCAAAACAATAATTGAAAAAATCAAAGAAATCAATTTGCATTAGCATAATCATTAGGAATTATAATTTAGTTTAATAATTTAATTCAATTTGTAACTGATTGTATTAATGCATATTAATAAATAAATTTTTTTTTATTTAATGTAAATTATAAATTGTAAATATTTTTTTTTTAAATGATTGGAATATATGATTGGAATTTCCACTTTTTTTTTTATTTTTCTTTTTTTTTTTATTTTTCTTATTACATTGAAATGAATTGAATAAAAAAAAGTTTTGTTTTTTATTCAAACCTGTGAGAAGATAGCTTTTTAACGAGTTTTCTTTA